TATTGATTATACTTATTTTTTACACTTGTTTATTGAGTAAAATTGACTATCGATTATATTTATTTGTTATATCTATAATCAATAGAATTTCTCTTATAATCCACAAAAGTTTCAAAAATTAAACCTTATTTTCTAGTGATGCAAGGTATAAATATTTACTCAATTTTTTTTTTTTAGTTATTGAAAGTTTTAGCTTTTATCATGTCATCATGACAATTAATATAGTAATTACTATAAACGAGTATCTTGAAACTCAAAATTCCTTAACCAAAATTTCATGAAATCAATTTGAAATTTTGTAAAGTTTCACCTTACACGTTCAACATAAAACTCATAATTATATGGTCTTAATAATCATTGGATGACCTAGCCCGACCCTAGCTACATCGTCGGCTCATGATCGAGTAGATATATACCATTGAACCTAGGTCAGCAATTAATAGTCAAATTGATCCCACAAGGCAGCTCATGACTAGCCATGTTAACTACTTGACCAACCCCACAAAATCAATTCATGGCCAAACTGACCCAACTCAAGAACAAATTCCATTGACCGACCTAACCTGAGTCGAGTTACCGACGGCCAAGCTGACCCTACCCCTCGTGTTGAGAACTAGAGATCAGTACTCAGGCGATGTCACGTGACAGCTCACGCGAAGCTGACATAAACCCAAGTATCAATTGAGGAATGGGTGGAGCGAGGAACAGTGGTGGCGGCATAGCCACTTGGGAGTTGGGCGTCCGTGGTGGCTGGTGGACAGGGGGAGGTTCAAGTACATACACCACGACTGTGGGGTCATAGTTTATCCTCTCAATGTTTAACACGTGTCTTGAGTGTGGAATTGTGTGTAGGAATCATCAGCTACACTTTTCCAGTACTATGGCGGTGGGTCCTATCGTGTTAATGTGTTATTCCCCAACTTTTTGATTCAGAGTTTGTTGCCTTTTGTGCCGACTACGGCGTCAACGCTCTTTCCTCGCACGCGAATCATCCCTTTTTAATTCACTCAAAACATTTCATCAGATAAAGAAAAAATCACTGAAAACAATTTCTTCTCATATACGTATATAATTTAGCATGGTTTAATCGCTCAATGATAATTGACACATGTGTAAACTAATAAGAAGTAGACTTTTTTCTAACTTATCTCATCAACATGAATTGATATTGAGTCTAAATTTTGATAATTGATTAAATTATCCTTGAATAAATTCTATAATGGTGCATGAAATACGTCTATTTGTTGACCTATAATATTTGTAAATTTTTTTGGCTACTTAAGTAATTGAAATAAAAAGGTTTCTTTTGTAAAACTAACTAAAATATTTGTTTCGTAATATAAATTATAAAAGAAAAATTATTAAATAAAAAAGTAATTTTTAATATTAAAAAATTCCCATTATATACCTAATAATTTAGTTGCTGAGTGAGCAATACTTTTTGAAACTAAATTGTTATGATGTAAAATTAAGAGCTTCCAAAAGTGGCGATCAGAGTCATCAGATCAAGTCGGAATCCCGTCCGTTTTATGACCAGTGTCTGCTCGTGAATTGTACGGCAAAAAGTGGAAGAGGGCTTTTGTATTTGGGGCTTTGGGTTGTATTGAAGAAAATTTTCCCTAAAAAACATCTATTATTGCGTTTTTCAACTTTCCGTCTTTTCTTTCGACAGTGGACTCCCACACGCTTAGCGATACCTCACCAACCCCACCGTTTGTGCTCCGATTTCCTCACTGTTGCGCCCTTATCTTGTTTGGCGGTTTTTGAGAAAAGTGGAAAAGGGGAAAGGACAGAGAAGAAGCTTAGAAATAAGTTAAATTTAAGTTTTTATTATTATTATTTTGATGTGGGAATAGAGGTATGTTTTAATATTTATAATTTTTATTAAATTAAAAAATAAATAAAAATATATTTGTTTTCTAATATTTTATAAAAGATAGGTATTTCTTACTCTCTCATTCAAAACTAGTTTTACCTTTTATTTTAAATTTATCTTAAATTTATTATTATTGTTTTAATTTTTTAGATAAATAAAAAAAAA